TGGTATTCTCCACCAGCAGTTAACGGTGACGGACACGAGCGGCGGCGAGCTCACCAGATGACATTAAACGTGGCGGGCTGCGATGCCCTCAAGGTAGCCACTTATCCCAGCTTTAGCAGCATTAACATCATGTTTAGAGCTAGCCCACACCCTGTGCTTGTCCTCCGAGGATTAGCTTAATGTTAGCGCCCAGGCTCGCAGCACCACAAGTGGCTCATGGCTTCGACTCAAAGCTTTAATTAAATGTCACTGCATACATAGCAGAGCATTACAGTAACTCTTTATTATAGCTCACGAGTGTGTGTGTGTGTGTGTGTGTGTGTGTGTGTGTCTGTGCAGAAACATGTAGTTAGTCTCATCTTTTTCCTGTTCGGTGTTCTTGTCCATAAATCACCTCCAGCAGCAGCAGCAGCAGCAGTCAGGGGAATACCTCGGTGTGAATCAGGAATATTAAGCCTCCATACACTGCACAGACAGTGAGGATGTATATTTTAGCTCAGCCTGGTGTTTCTGTGAGAGAGGCGGATATTAAAAGTTAAGATAATAAAGTTAAGTGCACTCAGTGATGCAATCTCAGCAAATGAGATTGTGCTGAAGCAAAAAGGTTCTGTGATGTATATTTCTGTGTTTGGCTTCAGCCTTCAACATGAGGAGGAGGAAGGAGGGAGGAGGAAGGAGGAATGTAGGGATCACAGGATGGAGACTGGAAAGGAAGGATGCAGATGTGATAGGATACATACAGATGTTTATACTGAAGGCAGATCCACTGTTTATTAACTGCATCAGTAGCTGTGTTCTGTACACTATGTGAGCTAGTGGAGCAGAGCTGAATCAATTAGTCGATTGATTTTCTGTCACTTTACCAATCAATCAATCAATCAATCAATCAATCTGTTGTAATATAGAAACAAAAATCACTGATTGCGGCTTCAGATCAGGTTCCGAAGGTGAATGTTTTCTGTATCTTTGAGGTTTGAACTGTTGGTCGGACAAAAAGGAAACATCACCTTGAGCTTCTGAGAGCAGAATAATGAACAGATCAATCACTAATAATAATCATGAGCTGCAGCCTTATAATGGAAAATCATCTTCTTGCTCTTCATTCCAAAACAATATGAAATATATAACAACAGCACAACAGAAGTGTTTGATGGATGCAGTCGTGTTTTTCATCTGCAGGTGATCCTTGTGTTGTCTGATATTAAATTCAGGGTTTCTGCAGAGTTCACCTAATTCAATTTAAGACTAAGACCTTTTTAATACCTCAGAGAAAACTCTTTAATATATATTTCATAAATAAGTCATAAAATAAGACGAATCCCTGCCGATTGTCATTTTTACACTTCTTGTCACTACTTCCCACCAGTATAGAACAATTACTGCTAATAACATCATTAATTTAATCATTAAAGGTCCCACACTGTGAGATGTCCATGTGTAGTGTGATTATAGATCAGCTCTAGCTTCTATATTAATACTGTGAAAGTATCAAAGCCTCAGTCCACAGAGAAATGCACACAGCCTGTATTCAGAAACTGAGCCTTAAAACCAGCTGTCAGGACTTCTGGAACTTTGTGATGTCACAACAAAGCTCTCACCAAGCCCCGCCCACCTGGACCCACCATCCAAACCTTGCAGGATTTGGTTTCTCTGAGTGTTTTTACCTGAAATCTGATATATTTTTATTGGATCACTCAGAAAACAGTCAGCCAATCAGAAGAGAGGCTCAGAGCCTCCTCTCTTCTGATTGGCTCACAGACCTGTTGTTACTAGAGCTCCAGAGAGAAGCCTGAGAGAGGAGATGTAAAACTACACTGAGATGGTTTTTGGTTCTTAAAACCTCAAATATATCTTCTTATGGATCAACACTTGATATATTATATATTCTACATAAATATGGAGCTTTAAAAGGTCTTAAATGTAACTGACTGACTTATATACTGAGCATTTCATCGTACCTGCTGTTTGCAGTCACATCCGTTTAATTAAAAGGGACGTTGTTGTGACAGTGGGTTGTGCTGCTGGAGGCTGTTGACAGTCAAACAGTCACTGCTGCTGCTACTGGAGCTGGAAGATCATCGTCTCATAACCAGAAAAACTTCAATGATATTAAAGTAATGAATCATTTTTATATCATCTGGAATTATTATTATTATTGTTATGTACTGCCAGAAAGCTCCTTAAAAACTCTTTAATAATGAATATTTCTGAGCCATTAAGTCCCTGCTGGTTTTCCATCAGACTTTCATACCAAGGCTGCAGCGTGGAGCAATTATTTTATCGATTAACGTTTGTCTATGAAATGTCAAAAAGTGGTGAATAATGCTCAGTGTGTTTCACAGGCCAAGGTGACGTCTAACAATCTAACAAGCTTATCTTTTACTGTCATATGTGACGAAGGAAAGTCTCACATTTAAGAATTTCCTTTAAAAAAAATAAATTAAAAAATTAATTTGCCTGCTGAGATTGTGAGAAAGGCAAATTGAATTAAAAATGTTCATAAAAAGTCTTGAATCCTGCAGAAATCCTGCACGTCCGACTGCAGCTGTCACTTCTGCACAGTCTGGAAAAGCTGTGTGAATAAAGACACGTCCGACATGTGAGCGTCACCAACCTGCAAGAAACTGGTGTCCATGTTAAATATTCTTTTAGCTGTTCAGAATAACAAGGCTAAAAAAAGAAAGAGATGAGGAGGAGGAGTGGACATTGGGGAGGGAGAGAGGATTGAATTTAAAGTCTTTAATTAACAGCAGACATAGCTGGTGGAAATATGAATGATAATGAAGGAGGAGGACACGGAGACAAGGAGCTAAATGTTTATGTGCACTTTGAATGTGGGGAGATGTTTTCATTTAAAGGCTGCAGTTGTGAAGATGCACCACATGTATTTTATATCTTTCCTTCTCCCTTCCTCACATCATCAGGTGAAATCTAGTTGCTGCTTCCACTAAATGAAACGTCCAGTCTCTTGCTGCTGGTTGTCTCATGAGAGGAGAGGCTTTGTGTGGTGGTGTGTCTGTCTCCTCTCCTCAGTGATTCCTCTGAACAGCCTGCCTGCATTGTTCCTTTCAGCTTCACTAACCCCCTCCATTAACCCTCCTCTTCATTAGGAACCAATTAAAGTGTTAGATGCCTTATTGTCAGGCAGCAGTAAGAGGATCTGAAATAATGGGATGGATGCAAACAAACAGCGATCGTAGCGAAGGGGAGCGGAGACCTGTTGACGATTTGCATGTGAGACACTCCTGCAGATGAGTCATCATGTCTTCATGAGCGTGCGGGCCTCATGCTGCGCTGTGCATTTCTTCATTTCTTCATTCTCCTGTGTGTGAACAGTGAGAGCTGAGCAGCAGAAAGCACCAAGGTCGGCAGGATTTGTCTGAAAGGCAGAGCTGCAGAGATGCAGGATTCAGCTGCTAAGACACTTACTCGTGGTGTAGAGGTTCATTTTAACGTGGAGCATGTTGTCAGCGGTGCCGGAGTGAAGCTCTGCATAATAGAGGAGGTGTTTGCCACAGTTATGACATGATGACGAGGGTCCGAGCAGGAAAAAGGTAGAATCTGACTGAGGAGAAAGAGATCCCTGTATATTTTTGGTAGCTGCTGGTTGGTTGAATTAGCTGGTTCTTTGTTTTTGGTGATTCTGCTGCTGATTGGTTGCGGCGGCTGCACACATGTCACAGAGCCTCCTGGTGAAGCTCACAGTTGCACATCAGCGGGTGAGAAGATCAATGCATGATGTATCAATACCACAGATACTAAAGGCCCCGTTCAGGCAGCTTCACTCTGAAGCTCACGTTCATGTAAAAGCCACAACATCCTGCATCGACTTCAAAGATCAGGACAGGACCAGTTTGAAGTCCTTCCTCTCAGTTCAGATCAGTTCTATAAAACCTCTGTAGTAATCTGATAAAGTGTTTGTTTTGTTGACGTCTTAAAGGTCGCTGTGTTTTATTTGAAGTGTTGATCCATAAGAAGATATATTTGTGGTTTTAAAATCCGAAAACCATCTCAGTGTAGTTTTACATCTCCTCTCTCAGGCTTCTCTCTGGAGCTCTAGTAACAACAGGTCGGTGAGCCAATCAGAAGAGAGGAGGCTCTGAGCCTCTCTTCTGATTGGCTGACTGTTTTCTGAGTGATCCAATAAAAATATATCAGATTTCAGGTAAAAACACTCAGAGAAACCAAATCCTGCAAGGTTTGGATGGTGGGTCCAGGTGGGCGGGGCTTGGTGACTGCTTTGTTGTGACATCACAAAGTTCCAGAAGTCCTGACGGCTGGTTTTAAGGCTCAGTTTCTGAATACAGGCTGTGTGCATTTCTCTGTGGACTGAGGCTTTGATACTTTCACAGTATTAATATAGAAGCTAGAGCTGATCTATAATCACACTACACATGGACACAGACCTTTACACTGGAGGAGCTTTAATAAGGTGTGCAGAGACTCTGGTAATGTTTGGCAAATCATTTAATGTTTTTACAATTAGTTTATTAATCTAGCACTTTAGAAATGATCACACGTTTCTCTCCTCAACATAAACTGCTTTTAATAACTAACAGTATTGACATCTGTGACCCTGGTCCTGGTGTCACATGGTGTCAGATCAAAACCACATTCTGTGGTTGTTGCCGACCTCTGCGGCACACAACAGACCAACAGTGGGGTTAGCAGTGACGAGGCCTGGGGGGCAGTAGAAACTGGACTTTAAAGGAATGAAATGACTAAAAGTATTTTTATATATAAATATATATATATGTCTGTATACATATATATATTTTTCCTACACACATGATTCACATATGATCCTCTCTGTTCTCAGTTGTAGAATAATCAGATCATGTGTTCTGTATATAATATAGATGTCTTACAGCCATGTATGTTAATCTCTCTGTCTGTGTGTGTGTGTGTGTGTGTGTGTGTGTGTGTGTGTGTGTGTGTGTGTGTGTGTGTGTGTGTGTGTGTGTGTGTGTGTGTGTGTGTGTGTGTGTGTGTGTTTTCAGATCTGAAGAGGGAGGCCAGCATCTGTCACATGCTGAAACACCCCCACATCGTGGAGCTGCTGGAGACCTACAGCTCAGACGGGATGCTCTACATGGTGTTTGAGTTGTAAGTCTCGGGCTCGCGAGGATTCCTCCCAACACACGAGTCACATCAAAACCCTCAACACCGATGCACGTGTGTGTGTGTGTTAGAGAAAGAAGATTGTACCTGAAAGAGACACAGGAGGCGGGGGTGGGGGGGTGTCACAGTGGGTTGCATCCACAGAAGGAGTGTGAAGATGAGGTGGTGCTGGGAAAGAGGACACAGGGAGAGGAGGGCGGCTGCAGCATTGGCAGGACAGAGAGAAAGCAAACCCTGCGGTGGTTTTATATAATCTGCTGATATGAGGAAGCTTATTAGCTGAGGATGGGGGTGGGGTAAGCAAAAAGGGACCGGGGGGGGGGGGGCCCATGTGCAGGG